GTAAGTGTCGTTGCCAACACTGTGGTTTGCAACTAGATTGCCAGTGAATAACACAGGTAATTCCATTATTAAGTATATCACATGATCATAAAGGAAGTGAATAAATAGGAAGTAGTGTGATGACTATATGATCACTGTTCTTGTCTATCCACTATTGTGATCACGTTCACTCTCTACTCTACTACTATACAGATTACATTTCTCTTCTGATCATTATACTATTTGGCAATTACTACTTGAACAAGTATAACTAGTGCGAATATTATTGGAAGGTGTTACTACTAGTACTGGCATCTATGAAGTCTCAAATATAACGAGCATATTTTGAAGTGATAATGAGCTTTTGCTTGACATAGCAAAAGTAACAAGCAGAGCTGTCCAACATCACAAAATATATATTTCTATAAGATGCTTGAATTAATAACCATTGAAATGCTGGTTCACGCATGATAACCAAAGTTAAGCCTGGTCAGTACCTAGATGGTTGAATGTTTGGCAGTACCAGGTGCTATAAGTTTGGATGTGTGGGTAGTGTAATGGATAATGGCTTGGAATTGTTAATTGGAGAGCCAAGTCCCAATTATATTCATTTACTTTGAAATACACTCAGGAAATGTATGAATCCATCTCTTTGTTATACCAGAACATACCTATTCTATTGTAAATAGACTCTCCCAGATATAATAAGTAGTAGTAGTAGTAGCCACCAGGGGGCTCAGTGGAGTTGAGTGAGTCAGTCGATGTCGGACCTTAAAGTATCAATCCACCACAACTAGATTGCTGCGTCATTAACTATTATTTCAAGTTCCTAACGTTTTGTACGTCAAACCTATTTTAGGACCGACTTAGTGAAATACAAGGCTCCACTGTGAAAACTACTCTACAACACTCTTCTATCCCAACTATGGGTTAATTACTAAGACTTGTATTGCTATATCATTATTATCTCCAGAAGAAAAGTTCTTACAATTTAAAAATATTTTCTGGGTTTAAATAACCTGCAAGGGGTTGATAAGCCATAAAAGATGAATCAATCAATCAATATGAATTAATAACCATTTTTCTGCCATTATTTTCTGTAAGAAAAACGCTTTCCTCTTTTTATTTTATGAATTATGCATGAGAAAGACTGAAGAATGAATTAGCTAAAATGTTTATAGCATAAAAAAGTTGTGTCATTTAAATAAATTTTGAAACTTTAAAAGTCTTTGTAAATTGGTGGCTGTACAGTTTGGTAGCAGTATGAATCTTGTCATTCATTTACAAATCTTGGCAATGTTACAATTGAACTTGAATAGATGCAAAAGTAAATTGGATAACAATTACAGTATGAACTGAAGTAAAAATATTTGGATTACTTTATTTTTTTTTTTTATTCAGTTCATTTGCTTACCATTTATTTTTTTAAATTTTACAAAATTTCCAGACTTTATTTGGTGTTCAAAGCAAAGTTACATCCAAAAGAAATTTGGTCTAATGTTTTCTTAGCTTATTTTTGTTGTCCTTCTTTTCTAAAGCGACTCTGTGTTTTCATTACTGAAGCATTTTGTTTTTTTTATTTCTTATTTCTCAATTCATGTGCAGTAAAGATACAAGTGAAAGAATAAAATGCCCTCTTACAAAGGGAGATAAGCCTGAAATTGAATTAGGCAACAAAAAAGCAATAAAATGACATGTTTTGTAACTCACCAGCTTATTTAAACTAATATCTTCATTCAATTTGTTATTTTCAAGCTATATTTAAATTAACATCTTTCTGAGTATATACATGATAGCTATAGTTTAACTTGGTTTTCTGTTATTCCTGTTTAAAACTAAATATCACACCATACCTTTTCAGGATGTAAATGATCATGGCTCTCCACGACTACCTCTAAATACATGATCACTTGGGAATATCAGGTGCTTTAAGCTTGGATGTGTGGGTGGTGTAATGGATAATTGGAGAGCCGAGTTCTAATTTCAGTTGTGCTCATTATATTCATTTATACCCTTGAGAAATGTATGAATCCACTTTGTCTCCCCCCCAGCTATGGGTTAATTAATAAGCATTAGACAAGTAGACCTGACAAAGCCTATCTCTCTCCAAGTTAACCACAGCCAAATTCCTTTACCTTGAAAGTTGACATTTGTCATGAACACATAGCCATTGATTTCCTAAGGGGAATCCATTGTCCAGGATGTTGACTTCAGTCTAGGAAGCACTCTGCCTAGCAATGCTGTGTCCAGCAGTGTGCAGAAGATTAGGGCAGAAGTGCGATGGCCTCAGGCATACATATTGTGAAAGAGTGTTTCAAAGAGGGAAATAAAAATTTAGTTTATATTTAATTTGAATAAAATGTTTATTTCATGTTTCATCTGTTTTTACATATTTAAAATATCTTCCTTTTTTCTTTCTTTGTTCATTTCACCCGAAGCAAGGTGGGAATGCCACTAGTATGCAAGAGGTTAGAGAGAATGAAAATGAGAGAATAAGACTTGGTATAGCAGGGATTGAGGAAAGGATAAATGATGAAAGGGATTCAAGAAGATAGAAGATGGCGAGTGACACTGCATTTAATTTTTTGAAGATTGTAGTTATCAGGGAAGCAAGTAAATGGAAGGGAGTTCCACAGGCAGGAAGTGTGAGAAAAGAAACTGTTGGAGTAGAAGTGGAGGGTGCATTTAACTATTTCAACAGTAAAAGAGTGGGACCTTACATTTCCTTTCTCACATTTCTCAGTACTAGGCCCTATAGCCCGCACCTATTTGAGTTTTAGGGGCATACAATCAGAGAGTTTGCCCCAGGCATCACCAAATATCACCGCACTGACAATGGAGTCCAGTCTACCCTATTGTGCTGGATTGTTGTTGAACCTACTGGAAAGTCCATCTAACTTTTGACATGTTTTTAATCCTGCTGAGAGTCTAGCTACCATGCTCACCAGAAAAGCCTGGTGGAGGAACCAATTTTGAGACTGATGACCCAAACATGTAGCAAATAATAGTGGGTTACATGGTACTAATAGAAGCCATATAGGGATTTAAGTGTCATGAATGCTGCTAACCATAGGGTGAAAATAGAGGTTCTAATTATTTCAAAATCAGTATAAAGCAGTGATTTTTTTTTTCTGTCAGTGTTGAGAAAGAGAAGAGACTGAAAAACATTTAGCACACATCTGGACCCAATGCTGCTTTTGCATTTTCTTTTTCTTATCTCTCTGACTGGCATGTCTACTGATTCTTTTAACAGATGGATAGAGGAACTAGCTTTATCAGATGTCACATCAAGTGCATTAACTGTAAATCACCTCTTTTCTGTTCCTCCACCTTAACTATGCAAGACATGTCGCTCATCTTAATTGAGATTTCATATTGTCGTCTTTCTATCACCTAGCTTCCTGTTTACGTGATGGACTTCAATCATTTTACAATTTTCAAATAACTTCACCTTTCCAAGCCCAGTGTATATTGCATTTTTATCAACTTGACATAATTATCTTGAATATCGATGCTCCTTGGAAATGAATCAATCTTTTTGCTTCCTTGTAATTTTGATCCTTGATGTTTCTAAATCAATCAGTTTCTTTTTTCATTTACAATAAACACTAAGCCATGATTTTTAGATTAAAAAGAGTTTAGATTGTAAAGATACCAAGTAAGTTTTATTAAAAGGAAAATGAGAAAAAGAAAATTTGTATACAAATATAAAAATAAACATTTCGGTTGCTTGAGTCACTTTGGGTCATTTTAACCTTTTTCAGTCATATAAGAAGAAACCATATAAGAAAAATAAAAGCATATATTAAGAATCCATATAAAAATATAACTTTATAATAAGAATCCATCTAAGATTGGCCTTAATAATTTCAAATTCCTTTCTAATTACAATTTTATATGAATGAACTTTCCTCCTTAGTGCATGTATGTTGCTATCATTTAGCAAATAAACTTTTAACTTTCAGTGTTTATTTTATATTTCAGTAAAACATATTGTGACTAAATGTGAGATGCATTATGTGTATATCTATCTATCTATATATATATATATATATATATATATATATATATATATATATATATATATATATATATATATATATAAAAATTTGTAACTTAGCTTATTGGTTTTACCTTCATCATCGCAACTCTAGAGTTTTGTAGACAGACCCTCCAGCAATCACTCTGTCCACTCATAAGGGGATATCAACAATTTTATATATATATATATATATGATATGTGTGTGTGTGTGTGGAGAGAGAGAGAGAGGATGGAGTCACTTATCAATTATAACTATGATTTAGGAAGAAGTTATAATAGGAAAATGGTACACAGTTTATCACAAAGTCAGTCTTAAAATCTCATTTAAGAAAAAAACAATTTTTAAAACAATTATCATTTAAAATTATTTTTGCCCCTTTTCCAATTAATTTGTTTGGAATAATTTCAGTTCAAATAAAGTCCACTTAATTAGTCTATTAATTTAAAGAAAAGAGGTAAATTTAAGGATTGATTGGAATATTAATTTTAAAGTGAAGTAATCAACTTTGGTCTTATTTAAAACCTATAAAAACCTATCTTTAAAACTTAGATATTTTCCCATTGCTTCATATGTCAACTTTTTGGACTATTATAATACATTTTCTTTAATGATACATAGTAGAATTTATATGCATGAACAAACTAACACATGCCACAATTATATGCCAAGGTTTTCATGTGCCAATTTTTTGTCCTTTAGGACTTCTTCAGACTAAAATGATATTTATGGTGTGACTACACATGTACATGAAAGAGAGGGGATGTTGAGAAGTTTAAATTTTAACTGAAATTAATTATATATATATATATATATATATATATATGTGTGTGTGTGTGTGTGTAGTCAGATCAACATAAACATCACTTTAGTCCAATGAAGCCCTAAATGATGAAACGCATCACATGAAAACTTTTCCACTTTGGAATAGTTTTCCCTAAAATATATATATATATATATTTACATATCACTTGAATCTACATGTTTTTTCATACAGAAACTTATTCATTTTTCCTTCATTTCTCTTTTATTATATCTTTCTTTCATCAGTCTTTATGCAACTTCATTCCTTATATACCTCATTTTCAATTGAAAAAGACTCCCACCCTTTTTTTTTTATCCTCATTTTCACCAGTTTTCTTAATTTATCTTGCTTTTCCTTTTTTTCCTCACTCACTTTTTCTCCTTTTCAAGTTGTTATTAACTTTCTCATCTTTGAATAACCAGAAGATTACAACAAAAAGAAAAAAGAAAAGAGGAGAAGACTCCTCCCTCACAGAAAAGAAACCTGCAGTTGATCACTTAAGTATGGAAAAATGACTAACCAATAGGATTTTGCCTGCAAAGATTAAGTCTTTTGTCCCTCTTTGTTGGGCTGCAAGTTTCATCCAAGCCTTTCTTTTGCCTCAGGAGCTCTTCTGAAATGAAGACAGTCATTGGGAACATGAAAAGAGTAATACGAGAGAATTTAAAACAAAATACAAACAACCAAAAAAAGAAATTCTTTCTGATGTGTCTCTAGTGTATTATGTATCTCTATCCACTTTGGAGTCAGTATAATCAGGTGTAACATGAAACAGGTAATGCTCAATTGAGACCTATCAGTGTTGAGATATAATTCATTCAAAGGTGGTCATTGTAGTGAGGGTTGGGAATTGTTCTACCTTCTCTCCATGTGCAGTTGGCCATACTACCTATGTTTTCTAGTACCTGCTAGCTTCTTTTTCATTAATACTATTGTGTATGAAGGCTCCTTATTTAGTTGCTGTTGTCCTCCCTATTTCATTTTAAATACTCCCGTTCCAAGCTGGTCTGTTTCCCTCCTATTTCTCTACCTGTTTTATTTTTTTTTAAACTTGAAGTGTTTGCAATCCAATAAAAGGAACAATTAGAGGTAGGTGTCATTTCAAAGAAGACTCTTCTACTTGAAGTGGTTGGCTATCTTGCCTGTGGCCCTGATGTAGGTGTTCTGTTCTCTGCAGATATCAATACACTGTAAGTTCTCTCAGAGGCAGGTTCACTCAACTAGAAAGGTTAGAAAGAAAATTCTTCAGAGGTCTTATTATTTTTCTATTTTCCTGAAGATTTAATCTTTTTTTTGTTGTTGTTGTTCACAAATTTCTTCATTTTATTCTTTTCTTCTTCTGCTTCATTATTTCTTCATTCATTTGATTACTTTTCTTTATTGCCTTTTCTTTTTTTTTCATTCTTTTTCTTGCTTTTATTTCTTTCATCCATTCTTTCCGTTCGTATTTCTTTTGTATCATCCTTTCCAACATTGATTTTTTTTTAAATCTCTTTTTACTTTGTTTTGCTCTTTCATATATTCTTTCCTTTTCTACCTTTTGATTTTTCTTTGTTATTTTCTTCTTTGCTTCCTATTCCAACTTGTCATTTTTTTTTTTTTTTTTACCTTGTCTTTCCATTCTTTCTTCTCTTTTTAGTTTTCATCCTCAATTCTTTTGTGTCATCATTCTTTCATTCTCTTAGATTTTTTCCACTTAGAATCTCTTTCATAAAGAAAATTACGATGATACCAGGCATTTTTTGTTATGTTTTTCCTCTACTTTAACCTTCCTTACTTTATTTTCTATTGTTTACATGAACATCTGAAGAAGGACAAAACCTATAGCTATTTGGTTCTCCTGGGTGAGGGAAAGAGGTGCACAGGATAATGCAGGTTTTAGGATGATTGTATAGGACTCTGGATGCACATATTACAAAATATATAAAGACAGGTGTTAGACTTGACTCTAGGGATGCTAATTTAGAAAAAAAAAATAATTGCTGCTAATTCAGACAAGTTATTTTTTTGTAATATGCTGTCTGAATCTGGAAATTCATGACAGCATTCAAGGAAAATGTAGAGCATTTGCAGGTATCTTTCGTATTGTGCAATTTTAGTATGTTATTTAGCTGGATTATACCAAGTTTTGTACAAGGCTATGAATACCAAGTGAAGATGACTATTTTTATAAAATTAATTCATTAAAAGTGTACTGAACAACTCATTTAACTTGTCAAATAACATTTGGTGGTTAATTTTATTTTGCTGGTTTGCATTTAATATTATACACAGAATAAAAAATAAATTTAATAGATGATAATTGATTATTCCCAAGTAATGTCTTGAACTGATCATTACTGAGCACAAATGGTGAACTTGTTGTATGGTTCAGCAAAAAAAAATAAAATAAAAAATCTTCAGTTCAAAATTTTAATCTTTCCTGATACCTTTTTTATGAATCCCACAAATTTTCTTTACCAATTTTTGTTTACCTTTCTTAAAATAAAAAAAGCATAAAAAAAAATTTTTTCTTGTTTTTTTTCTTACTATTTTTCACCTAATAAAAGGCCCAACAGCCACTCATGGTAGAGGGATATTAAATAAGGTTATTGCCCAGGCATCAAGGCAGTAGAACTTCTTGAGTCGGAAACGTTATGTCTGAGTGGTTGATGGGGAGGGGCAGACACTGAGAAAATCTTACTTGTTTGGGATGACTAAAAACCTATTAAGAGAATCAGGAGTAACGAAAGTTGCTCAGGTATGAACTGACATCTCTTACCATTTAACAAAAATACACCAGTTGGGAAAATTTTAAAAAAAATGCATGTCACAACTTCAAAGTGATTTTTTTTTTTTAATGATATTAGCGACAGCTGATTTTCTTCATGTCTGCTAATGACAAAACAAGAACAAATTTTTGGGGGCAATCCAGTAATGGACTCTAGTTATTTGTTGTGGAGTAGCTGAACACCACCACAGGATGGACTGGTTTAAGACTATTTAAACAGCACTCTCTCTTACTGAGCGAGAGAAGTTAATGATTAAATGTTTATTACATTAGTCTATTTTCTCAACTTTGGAATAAACTACTTCTTATTTTCTATATGTGTGTCAACCTTTACTATTTATGACACAATATTATTGTGTTTTATTATAAAATGGCAGTATAAAATTCTATCAATGGCTAACATGCATGGACAAAAAAAAATGTTTCAAAAGAATAGATATTCCCTTGATACTCCTATTACTATATAAACTTTTGACTCTGTTGGCAATGTTCATTGTTTTAAAAAGCAATGGTTATTTAATAAAATATGAAAGTGAATTTATACCTTTTCTTTATTGTTGAGAATTGACAACAAATATATTAAACACTATTTATTAGATTGCTTATTTACAAAAATAATTAAAATATTATGTATAATTTTATAAAGAAACAAAGTTTTTTATTCATAAATTTATAAAAATGTCTGTGAACAAGAAAATTTAAATAAACACATAACAAACAATTGTAATTATAAATTTAAAAGTGCATTTTTTAGGCATTTCTTTCAGTTGCTCTCACTACATAAATTCATTAAAATACATTGAAAGCATCTTTTACATATTAAACATATTTTGATGGTTTTATAATTTTTTTATAAATTTTTGAATTAAAAGATATCTTTTGAAATATCCTTCTTCTAAAAATAGTAAATAATAAATCTTTATAAAGGGTAAATAATAAATATCACATTGTACTTGGTTCATATATTTTTATAATCTTGTAAATAAACATTACCAAGGAAGTCAAAAGTGTTCACAGTAATAGTGATGTCAAGGGAATAACCATCCTACTGACACAGTTTTTTGTGGGCATTGCCAAAATTCCCTTGAACTATTAAAGATCCAAGATTTTTATTAATCTTTGCTAAGTTGAAAATTGACATTATCATCACTTAATAGCATTATCATCACTTAATAGCATTTTATTATTTATTTAAGAAAAAAGTTAAATTGTAAAATGACTCCAAAGATTCATTTTAAGTGTAAGTGTCCATTTTGTTTCCATTTTCTCTAAAACTTTGTCATTGCTCACATGTTCAGTCCATGGTATTCTCAGCATCCTTCTGTAGAACCACATTTTGGTTCATATATCTTCATCATCTGTGAGCATTTACTGCCACATTAAATTACTTTGTTTGGAAGTGAATTGCTTTTAGTTCTTAATGATTTCAAAATAAAAAACATTTTATAAGATATTTTTGCTGGTTCTTCAAAATTATATCACCTGTAATAGTCATTACACTAAGAGTCTTGTAAAAACCAATTAATAGTAAGATTGAATCATGTTGTGTTTTTGCACTAGATTGAGTTCAAGCAATCTTATGATAAATTAGAATGAAGCAAAAATATAGGGTTTAAATTTATTGTGTACAAAAAACACTAAAGGCCAAGAGATACCAAGAAGCAAGTCTTCACTTGTATTAAAGAAAATATAAGAGTCAAAACATATTGTTCTTTCTATTAGAGTATTAATTTGAAATGGCCTTTATCAAAACTGTTAATCAATGTTGTAATTGCAGATGTTTTCAATTGGACAAAATCTATGGAGAGTGTGGGTTGCATCTACTATTTTTATTGTTTTCTCATAAGGTCAGCAAAATCAGCGTTTAGAAAACATGGCATAAAAAATCAGTTCTCTGATGACTTTTGAAAATTTAATCTAATTTGTCTTGCTCAGAATGTGATGAAGTGTGAATGCTTATACAAGGAAAGGTTAATTAAATTTGTGGATTTCAAAGACATTGGTGTTTAAAGGCTGGATGTGGCTTGTAAAATTTGAAACTGTCATATTGATTCAAAATAGCAATAGTTTTCTGTTTTATTAGGTCTCTCATTGACCAATAAAAAGTACTATCCAAATACACACAGATTTTAGTTCTTTTTATATCTGAACTTTTAAAATTTTCTGATAATACCAAAATATTGCCCAAATACATACAGATTTTAGTTCTGAATTTTTATAAATTTTCTGATAGTATTTAAATTGGAAAAATTCTTATTTGTCTGTTTTTTTCTTTATTTTTATCTAGAAATCTTTTCCTTATTTCACAAACTTATATTTCTTTTCAAATAATTTTTTATTTTAAAAAATATATTTAAAAATAATTTATTTTCTCAAATGATTTTGTTAATCAGCAATTTTTAAAAAAAAAAGAAATGAAAAAAGGACTTTGGAAAAGAATATCTTTTACTTGAAAAAATTTAGCTGCATGAAAATAAAAGAAAATTTGGTCCTTGAACATAGAATTTAGAGGTCTAAGTTTTGATTGAGAATCAAAATCTCCCTTGTTATCTCTAATGCAGACAAATAATTTAGAGGGCAAATCAATAAGAATGAAGTTAGAGAGAAAAAAAATCAGTTGTGGAGAAATAAAAACAGATTTAAAAAATGTAATGAAACCATAAAAAAGATGGTTATTGAACAAAAAGATGTACATACTAATGGTTGAGGTTAAATCAAGAACTATAAGTCAATAATGACTGAGTAATGTGGAGGTGAGAAAAGATCATGCAGAAGGGCAATATATATGTATATATATATATATATATATATATGTGTGTGTGTGTGTGTTTGTTTTGATGTTTTAGGATGAAGTTTGAAATCAATAAATTTCAGAATAGATTGCACATTTTGTGTAAGAAGGAAAAGAAAAGACTAAAAAAAATTTATTTCAGAAGAAGAATTAAAAAAAAAAGAAAAAAAAGTGGCATAGTTTTTTGTCTTTTTTCTTCTTTCTACTACTGAAGCTCAAATCAGCACATGAAAGATTCTTCAAGTGTCTGTTTATTTTGCATTTATCAATGACTTAAATTTGTTTCCAACTTAAATATTTTTTTCTTTCAAATTTATCTTAAATGAAGACTAAAACAATTACAGACACAAATGCTTGGCTTATCTGAATCTTTCAAGCCAAAGTAAAAAAAATCAACAATTCAACTTTCATTTATCAACTTTGCAAAAAAATTTAAAAGTATCTTTGAGAAAATTTTCACTTTTTTACTACTTATTGCTTCAAGTCAAAGAGATCTCTAAAATGTTATGATTCAAACTCAAAATTAAAAATCTTAATAATGATAAAAACAATTTTTATTTTCTGAGTTTATCTTCTCAAAGTTAATCTCAAGGAATTCACATAAAAAATCTAGCATTGATTTCTTCTTCGAATCCCATTAAATCCTTGGAGACCCATATTTTTCACCTGAGCTTTTATTCTTCACAGTATCTCATTCCTCAGAAAGATTATCACTTTTAGTTTTTCCTTTCATAGTTCTACATTATATAGTTTTTAATTTTGACACATTTTTACAGAGTATTACAAAAAATGTTATTAAAATGTCATCTAATTTCACATAATTTATAATTATTTTTTAAGTCACTTTTATTATGGTCAAATTTGTTATTTTTATATTTGTGCTAATATACCAGAAAAGCTATAATAAAATGTTGTGAAGCAAGCGAT